AACATATATAAGCCTATCCAAAAAGAAAAAGGAGTACCTTTTTTTTGGATTGGAAACTACATCGACGATTAACAAGAAATATTCCTGGCATTTCTGCTCTTAATCCAATCTGTCCATTTATTACCAAATTTAAAGTCTATTGGCTTGGTCGATATTATTGTTTAAGAAGATCTGCATATTATCCTGTCAATAAAGAAGTTCTTTGGTCACTCTCCTACACAAATAAATATCAAATATATTGTTGCTGAAACTATTCAACTCAAATAATCAATCACAACAATAATATTATCAGTGAAGAAAATTGAAGAAGTATTACAAAAGTGCGACAAAATGAAATTTGTTTTTAATGAAGCAGCAATGAACAGCCGAGAATTCCTTTCAAACGATGAAAAACGTCAATACAAAAATACCACAGCCGAATTGAACCGAAGTGGTCCAAAAGAAAATCCTTGGCATTATCTGGAATCATAATAAAGATAGTGCTCAGAAAACTTCAAGACCATGGAGTAGGAAAGAATAATCAAATGGACAACCATGCAATTTGCAGCCTCTCAATATGACACATTCGGATTCTAGTTCCTACTGTGATACAGTTAAAGATATTTCTTTAAAATCTGTGGAAGAATAATTCTTAGAATCAAATTATAAGTGAAAAAAACAAAAAAAATGGAAATCTCTCTGTGAATGACCAACAAATGTTACAGAAGTATTGTGATTCGTAACAAACTTTGTAAAATAAATATAAATTTATTTTTCTCCGATGCTTCCAGTGTAGCATATTCGGCAGCCATATATGAAATAATACCCTTAATTTTTACTGAATCCGGAACCATTCAATTAAAGGTTCATACCTTACCTCTCTCTACATCCCGATTAGAATTACTAGCGATACTCGCTTGAGTACAAGCAGTCAGTCATAAAGCAGTCTGATCTAGGAAAGATATCAGTAACCTTCGAGTCGGATTCCAAATGTGCACGAAATTGGACACAAGATCATTTTTGATTACTATTAAGATTCATACGAAATCCAGTCGAAGAAATACAAAAAGCGAAATCCTTATTTCCTTATGTTCCAATTGAACATGACCTAGTTGATGTGACAATCACAAGGATTTTCTCCTTCAGAACTTGGAAATTACGAACCGTGATGGAAAGGACCACCATGGTTAAAAGCAGAAGAATCTAACCCAAAACAGAAATTTAAATTCACAGGTCCGAAAATGAAGGAGGAAAAAACTATCATGAAGGTTACCACTTAAATTCCTAAAAAATAAAGCTTTGGATTTACAGATGGAACTCGTTCTAGTAAGTGGCTAGATTACTAAGAAAGACCAATGACAAGAATCCTTGTCAACTCAGAAAAATCGATTCACAACTGAAGTTTACAAATTGGCCGAATGGGAGTTAACCAGAAGGCGCAATTAGAAGGAATGACTGAAGAAATAAATAAGTGGGCTCTATACTATAATGATAATGAAATTTTATGGAAATAAAGAAGTTGTATGGAAACAAAGGAACTCAGGATTATATGATGATAGCAAACATCCTATCTTCTAAGGCATAATCTAATAACTGAGCCTCTCATACAACAACATGAAGACTTATATTATGCCGGAATTGCTCATACTCTTTGAAAAATGAGATGTAAATTCCAGCTACCAGAAGAGAGAACTGAAGTCAAAAAAGTGTTAAATCAATGTAAAAACTTGTAGACGCTGGACTACTAAATTATTCAAGTTACAGGTCATGTTTAGTCTTCCAGAAACTGGAATTAAACGTTCTAGAATCTTTGCACAAGTTGGATTGAACTATTTAGGTTTTCTTACTGTCAAAATTGATAATGGCATAACTAAAAAACGGACAGCTGTATTTAAATGTTTCACTACGTGTATTTAGAAGTAGTGCATTTTGAACTGGTATCTATTAAAAGCTTTTTGCACATTTTAAGAAGATTCATGGTTCGACGCGGTCATTCTGAATCAGTCTTGAGCGATAACGCTAACCAATTTCCATTAATTTTTAAGACCACTGTAGAACAAAATATTAATCTTAGCAAAAAGGAATGATCTGGAAGAATATGATACCAAGAGCCCATCGAGTGAAAGAATTTGCGAAAAAATAATTGGATTGACTAAAAAGACATTGAGAAGAGCTAAAAGTAGAAAATTATTACGAGGAAGAGAATTAATAAACCTGATAGAGGAATAAAATGTACACTCAATATCCGTCCAATAACTTATTCAAAATTTGAAGATTATTGATTTTATCTCACATAATACCTCCCCATTCATTCCAATACTTTAACCATTGAATATAAGCTTGGTTATCAGATTGGAAGATGTTTACAATACCCAACACGCATTCTTAACTTTCTTCTCATACACCCACTATTGAATCGAAGCATGACTCACACCAAGAAGAATAAATTTCCATCAGGCATAGACAATTTTCAATTGTATTTAAGATATTTTGTTAGATATGGCTGATAATTTAATAAGACTGTAGAATAAAAACACAGACAAGTTCACTGAAATCCAACAGATGGTTTTATTCACATTTTGTAATAAAAAATACATACAAACCAAATTTCACCACAGCTAAGAATGTAATTAATTTAATTTCTAAAATCACAACGCTTTTAAGCGCATGGTTGGTCGAGAGTAAATAATTAACCATTTGCTTAGACCCAAAATATTGCCTGAGATCTTAAGCTTATTGAAAAACATGATTGTAAACCGCAAGATATTGAAATATGAAATGCAACAAAAATTATTTCCAGGTTTACTCTCACCTGACGAAAACACAAGTATGATAACAGCTTCCGAAGTGACCACTTTCTAGTACAAAGCACTCTTGACCGTTCCGAAATACATTAATATAACTGAAAGGTATTCCGAAAACTTTCTGAAAAATAATGAAAAAAGAATTACCTGATGACGATCTGCAGTGCCTAAAATTACATCAATCTGACTCACAAGAAAATGTGCCAGCGAGAATGACACTACCACCAGTTGAATGACTTTTCACTGCAGAAGCACTTTAGGGACAGATATTTAATGTTAATAACTGCACTCCCTGAAATATAAAAGACATCGACTTCGATGAACACTGACCGGTCAAAATAATTTCTCCATATGCACAGTTATCGTTGGATGATAGTATTTGGAAGAGGAAATGAGACATGTGAAAAGAACTTTAAATGTTTGCATAATGCATTAAGGAGCAATATTTACCAATAAATTGACCTACTTCTTGCTGACCAATGGGATGCACTGGAAACTGAATTCTTGTGATATATAAGTGCAAACTCTTCTTTTACTCCTTCTTTGCAAATTCCACACCGTATTCATATGCAACGGTTTCTTTTGTTTTACAAAATTAAATCGCCTCAAATATCATTTTGTCAGATAATTCGTAGTTTACGTCAATACTAAACTCTAACGCAGAATATGGTAGAGCTGAACATTTGAAAAAGGCTCAACCTATCTTCTCCCAGATTTCAAATAATTCCACCCTCATTAATAACTCCTGAAGACTCTAAAAAAACTCTAAAAGGTCAGTTTATGGTTTCGGAAGTATTAAGCCTAAGTGGAGCGCTCTTCGCACTGGCAAACTCATAAGCACCGAAAGTAATTGCATATCGACAAAGATATCTGAAATTTGAATGAAATCTGACGGAAAACACCCGGAAATCAGACAAGAGTTACACTCCGATGCTTCGTAAGTGCTCATATACTGCAGTAAATCGAAAAATAACCCATGCGATATACCCCAAGAAATGTCCTTTAACGGTCCCCCACGTCAATTTCTAATGACCTCCTTCCCCTCCGTATAAGGTTTACATATTCGCACATACAAACCGGAAACGAGCCCAGCAACGTTTCAAAAGTCGACCTAACGTTATGCTACAATGACCAATCCATGTGTCGATCTGTACATACTTCTTTGTCTGCTTCTCTTACTCCTTACTTAACATTTGTGGAAAATCAGTCTGTCGTAACAGTACTGCTGAAGATTCTTATCAGTTCTTTCCATTTCTCAACTTCTTCTCGACGCCCTCTCCTGCTCTCAATCACTATCAGACTCTCCCTCTATTACCCACCAATGACATCCTTGTCGTGTTTCGGCACCCAAATGACAAAGTACGAATGCGCCACGTCGGGTAACATGCTTATTCTAAACGATTGTTCTCCAATTATCTGTCAGCTATTTTAAGTCTTGACAATGGTTTATCTTGTCAATTGCGTCCTTTTTCAATACTTCTACTCAAATTTTAAAAGTGTGGGACGTCATTCACGGAAATTGCATGGATAAAGTGCGATTCTAGTGCGGAATAATAAAAACACTGCCGATCCGTAAAAGTATAAATAATGGATGATAGAACTGATATGACAATTGCAAATAAGAAGTAATGAACAAGTACTTTAAATAACCAGTTTACAATAACAATAACGACCATTTCCGATGACAATAGTAAACAGTGTGCTGGCTCCCACACAATAAAACTATACATCATAATGCATAACCAATTTGGAACTTGGAAAAGTGTATAAATAATGTTGAAGAAAGGTTAAATGTATACACTTTGCTGGAACAGGAATGAAATTGTCATTTTGACATAAACATTGCAACTCTATTTTTCAACTCTTTCATCACCTTTTTTCATGGAATAAGAAACTAGTTACAATAGATACACGGACTTCATCATCTCTGCTAGCTCTAAAATTATTTTTTACTATCAGTAACTGCAAGTGGTAATGGCAGTATTTGTACGTATGGGATTTTTTTCTGATCTAATTTCGTCCCAACGAAATACGATAAACCTATTCAATTCCATTTTCATTTCATTTTCATTTTGAGATTTCATTCCATTTTCACTTAGTTTCGAGTGTTATTTAATTTTAAATATGGCACTCTATTTCAGTCACAAGATGTCACTTCAAAAAAAAAAAAAACCATAAAATTGAAAAATGAAAATGAACAGAAGAAGCTGAGAAGTGTGAAAGGCATTAATGGGATGCATTTCATTTAAGACGTCAAACATTTCAAAAACAGTCGATCAGAAGTTAAATAGACATTAGCTAAAGGCACTTTCAGGAAGGATGAAAAAATGTTATGATATTCTTACTCGTAGACTTGTAAAATCCGGCAGTGAACATATTTAAATTCTGAAACTCAATTTTAGAAGTACGCAAATATACAATCGCCATATATATAAATGCACAAACTAAAAGCAAACATACAAACTCAGCTTTCTAGTTGCAGTGGAAAGAAATTGGAATTTAATGTTTGGAAAAACAAAGATTGAAAAATTGATTCGGAAGATTGAGAATTATCGGTTCGTTGTTTTAATATTTCATTTAAATTCTCTCTGCTAATGAACAAATCCTGGCTAGAAGAAAATAATAAATTGCTGATACGCTGGGATCTGTTGTCAAATCAATACTACCTGTAGAATCCTCTCTGCGATAGAAACCTTTGAAAATATAAGCTGTCGTAGAAGATTAGGAATAGGAAAAAAGAAAAATCTAAAATAATCTAGAAGGGAGAAATCCGTAAACCGAGTCACACTTTGAATTTCTGTTTTGAGCAAGAAAAATCTTGAAAATTCGAAACTTCTACCATCAGGTCTATTTTATTTTACTCGATTATAAGGATGATAATGGATTTTGGAATACTTCATTTTTCAATGTCTTTCGTTTGAACAAAACAAAGATCGGAAAACTTCTGTTATGTCTTCAACAACACAAAACCTGATCCTATCTCATCTAAGCTTTACTATATCGTTTTCGGAAATTTCCCGGAAAATAAGACTGTACAGGCAATGTGAGCTAAGTAAAGATCCTAACAGACTGTTTGTTATATTTCTAACTTGAACTAGCAGAGATTTCGATCAAATCATAAGCAAACAGATTCTGAGAAGGATCTGCAATAAATGCATTTAATGGCAATAAATATACATGCTAGTATATGTGTAATCAAAATTGTCTTTTGCGAATGAAATTGAAGAATGTTGATATTGGAGGTAGCAGTGTTTTAAGATTCGGATATTTAGTATCAAACGGATCATCGTCATGCAGGGTATATGGTAAACTGGTCATTCCGCATGTGTTGATCACTGTTATATGAATTTCATCGGTGCCAGCTAACCTCTCTTCTACCGTTATTGGAGTATAAGGAACTACAAAATCTTTTGGATCAATGCACAGCTGCGATTGTCGAACACGTTGAATCATGTTTGGAAGATAGTGTGGTGGTAATTGATCACCAGATTTTTCAGCAGGTAAAATTAATGATGATTTGTCAGACTCTACCTGCGACAAGACTGCCTCGGTGAGTAGTTGGATGCTTGGTACAGCAAGCTGAGTGTCATTTGGTGTTTCTGCCGATTGCATCGATCGCGGTTCCCTTTGTATCCTAAGATTCTGTATTGAATGATTTGGAGATGGTGAAGTGCTGTTAGATTCATCCTCTGAATCTTCAGATTGCAATGGTGAAAGCGGTTTAGCTAGCCATCCCGACAAACTTAAGTTATAATATTTTCTCTGAAAAAAAAAACGACCAATGAAATTTTGAAATTTCTCGATTGCATTATAGCTGATATCAACGCTTCACCTAACAAAAGAGACTATGCTTCAACTGCCTGATGCACGGCTCTTTCTTGTTGCCAACATTTGTAACATTTGTCTCCACTTATTTTAGGTTTCTCGTTATTAATTATGGCAACAGGAATCTTCTGCCAGTACTGTATAAAATCTTGATTCTTGAATATCTTACTCCTGACTGCACTCTTATTTTCTCAAATCTTTTTGATTCACTTTTCAACAGTATATTATTCCTGCAGCTTTAGTTACTAGCTCAACCCTAAAGTTACAATCAGTATTTTCGAAAGGCAACTCAATCATCATATTAATCTGTTAAGGCTTGAAGGATACTCCTGGCTGGACTCAACAAACGCTTCTGAATGAGCCTGCAAATTTTTTTTCCAACTTTTTTCAACTGATGCAAGGAAGTAGAAAATCTGTTTGAAATATTTGAAGGGATAAATTCTTCTTACCAACCACCTCTCCCGACAAGATCGTCGCTTTCTAATTCGTTGTGTAGTATTATTCCTTTGCTGTTTGGCTGAAAAAATTGTTTTTGATTCAATGGGAAATTTTGAAATTTCAAATGGAATTTGCACAAATTTTCTCTTTAACATTATAAAACTTCTTCCAAATATTTGATTTCAGATACTTTCAATATAAAATTTAAAAAAAAAACCTCCGGGACGATCAATCCGGTTTTTGACAGAAGCCATTGAAATCGTACAGAGCAGATTGCGCAATGTTAAAAATAGCAAAGGAAGTTTTCGAGCTGTGCTCACCTTTTTGTCTGACCACATCTCTTGGATTTTGGGAGGGAATGTTTTCCTCCTGTAGAGATCGCTATGTTGAACTCTGACCCCTAACCCCTAACAGTGACATATTTGGATGCAGTAGCACCTTCATTGCTCTGCGCACCTTAAAAAAATCAATGTTTATAATTGGTTACATCTGTTTGTAAAAAATCTTTTCCTACTTTGCAAACATATTACTAAAACCAACATATTAAGACATTCACAATGATAACAAACTGTTCGAAATTGTGGAAAATATGAAACGGTCTGTGAAAGACGCCCCCGCATTTGGAGACCTTCCGTGTAAGCCAAATATTTCCTATCGCAGCTTTTTCTCTGTGGAAACGACACATATTTTATAAGTAATCAATATAATCGATTTAGTTACTACAAGACAACGAAACGATTAGGTTCATGTTGAATTCCCTTTAACTGAAGGACCGGGAAATACCACTAATAGTACCAAGATATTTATATTTCATCCTTTCCTGATTCTGATAGCGTTCATTCGTAAAAATGAAATGTCTCCTAGATTTTTGGTTTATTCGACATATGGAACCTCTCGATTCTGTTCAGATCGTTGTTGAAGAACGTTTAAGATTTTGAGCCCACGCAAATCAATAAATAATTTGAACAGTAAGTGAAGCATGAAAAAATAAACTTTTAGTCCATGAAAAACCAACTGGGAATTTCTGAAAACTACTGCTAATGTGATCATCTGAAGTGATTTTGGTCAGGTGAACTGGGAAGAAAAATGACAATTGGATTAATGATCCTATTTCAGGTAGAGAGAGATTATTCATTGATTTGATAATCAGGCTATATATAGCATACGGTAGGGATTCAGAACGAATTTGCCTAATGTATCAAGAATGAAAAACTTTTCACCTACTTTTTAATGAATCATTATGCATATTTTGAATTAAAATTTGAGGATAAAAAACAACCTGGGAACTTCTGCGCACTTTAATTGTTAAAGTTGGTTTCATGAGAAATTAAATAACAAACAAATGATCAGATAGAAAGGAGTACTTTTCATCACATCCATCAGCAATTACTGTATCATGAAGACCGGAAAGTGATGTACTTCGTATCCTTAACAAAACGAAAATATTTGTATTTTGCCGGATTTCTTCTCTTCTCTACCTCTGGCCATTCTACAAAAAAGTTGTTAGATATAAGTGTAAGGTAAGGAAAAACTCGAACTGGATCAATATGACAAATTGATCAAACTGAATCAATATGATAAATTGATCGAACTGGAAGAATATGATAAATTGAATTACGGATTCATTTTCTTTGAAATGAAATTTATGACAAGCAGTAACTAACAGCGATGAATTTTTTAATGGTCTGTAACTGGTGAATTCGAAGAAAGTTCCAACATTGTCTATTATCTTTCGACGATTTTCTATGAAATATTGTATTTTTTTGACCTAAAATAATGGTTGAATTAAGTCTTGAAAAGTAATGAATTTTGTTGCTACCTTACACACAAATAGTATTAGTTTTTCTGCCCATTTTATTGGTGATGGTTTACAATATATTACAAGTTCTTGTCATAGGATTAGGCCATCATTTATCTAGTCGGATTACCTTTATTCTGTAACTAGACTCGTTCCTCGTGATTATCTTGAAATATGTAGAGAGATAAAAAAGAGAGAGAGGAATTGAAAAGGAAGAGAGGGAAAATGAAAATTTATCCATTTAATTTTCCGCCTTTTCTTGCTTCATTGAACTTTCCAATCTAACAATGTAAGTAAAAAGTCTGTTACACTTTAAATGTTGTCAGCGAAACTTTTGCTCACTTCATTCCGTTCAGTTCGAGTCCTTCTTTCTTCTGCTCATTCCGCACATGAATCAGTTCTCTTCTCTGAATATGTTTGCATCTATTTAAAATCTACAATAAGAAACCGAAAAAATGGTATGGCAATTGTTTAGTAACAATAATGATGATGACAATGATAAGGATGACGATGATGGTTTTGATAATGATGAGGAAAGAAGTCGGTGAGCAAATGCAATGGTAATTGACTACATTACTGTACAGTAGTTAATTTACCTAATTACTGTAAGACTATTGTATGTTTTTTTCCTTTTCTTTTTATTGCAAGAGATGAGATGTTCCTGAGAGTATTTAATTACCGTTTCATGAAATAAATGTGAATGCAGTTTTCTTACCAACGAAATGAAATAGATAAAATCATGTTTGTCTTCAAGTTTATCACGCTATTTTTGAAATAATTATCTATTTTATCGTGTTTAAAATAACGATGGATAGTTGGACTTAATACTGTCATTTAAATTATTTAGCAAACTTTTTTCCCATACGTTCAATTCTTTTGCAATAAAATGACTTGAACCGAGCAAAAATCGTAGCAAGGTTCCCGTAGGTGAACCTGCGGAAGGATCATTATCGAGCTTCAAAAACAACAAAATAACGATTATTTATCATCATAATTATTATTACTACTATATATTATTAGTAGCATTTGCTAATAATAGATTAATAATAGTAATGATAATAAATAATACTGATGATATGATGATCGAAAAACGATGATATTTGTTGGTGTCTATACTTTATCCAAGTTATCGCCTAACCGACGATAAAAATGAAGATAAAAATATAGTTTAATTAATTGCATTGTTAATTAAGTAGACTTAATAAACATTTTAGCTAAATATGCTACCAACAAATAAAAAATACACAAAAACACACACATGTAATTATTATTGTTTCTATTTTTTAAAACAATATTTTAACTTTTAGCAGTGTAAGATGCAACTTCACAACCAGTTTTGCAATATTGGTTCAGATTACAATGCGCAGAATATGTTTAATTTATCACAGTTGAAGTTTCACATTGAAATTTAATTTAACTTCTTTGCTTGTTGTGCAAGTTGCTAAAGAATTAATGTCAAAAAGGTTCAACTTTTCAATAAGTAAAGAGTGGTAGTTATAAAAATATCCAAAGTCCAGAAGAAGAAATTCTCAACCCTCTTTGACTGTCCAAACACATTGACCTCAATGGAATGACCCACTCGTTCTGCATACTTCACAAATCACCTTTTTCAGTACAATGAATATCAGATTTTTTTAAAGTCAAACAAAGCAAATTTAGTTATACAAAAATTCACCAAAGTTTAGACATTCATTAGTAATTATCTTTACAATAGGCAATAAAACTGCTTGTTTAGAAAAAATTCCGCTCTATTATTATCAAAAAAAAGGGCAAATAAAAGACTTCGATTTGTTCATAATTCAAATACGTTACAACTTATCAATGAGATCCAAACTCCTGTTACTTAGACTTATCTGAAACTACTATTTCGCATAAAATTAATTTCATAAGAAATAGTAAGAATAAAAAAATATTTCACATCATATCCTTTATGCAAATGCTTTTCTTCAATGAAAATTTCACGAAATACAGATGAAAATAATAAGCTTAAAACTGGGAATTTCAAGATCTCTGGCTTGGGCGACTGATAGAAAGTATAAACTTATATAGTTATGATAAAATATTTGTATTATTTCGCTGCAATTCTGAAATAAAAGCTTTACAAAAAAATTCCGAATTTCTGATAGATGCAGATGTGAATGATTGTTTTACTATGAACACAGTTGCAGTGTAATAGACTGGGATCTCTATAAATTGAAATGTAAATGTTCGGTTGTCATTTACCTTAAATCTCCGAAAGTTCTTCACCGATACATCTTTCATATAGAATGCCACACTTGCAACGACAAAACATGCCTTTTTAAGTATATATATATATATATATATATATATATATATATATATATATATAT